AAGCAGAATAAAAGTGATTCATATGGTATTTTTCTTTCTTTCTTAGCGCCCTCTTATCCCAGGGGGCTATATTAGGGGAGCTCCAGATGTTTCTTTCTCCTCTGGTTCAGTGTCAAACAACCTGGGCTCCTAGGAGAGAAAGGGGCTCTGGGAGAAGACCTTCCTCCATCCTCATCCCAAGACTGCTTCCAGCCAGAGAGCAGCCAGGCATGACTCCCTTATTTATTATCTCTTCTGAACTGTGGTTTCCGGTGTCTGTTAAATGGATCTCTCCTTCCCCAAGTTCCTCTTATTACTTCCGCATCATCCTTATCTTGGACAACCGCCAGAGCTGATTCAGAGGCCTCAGACTGACCCAGAGGAGAGACAAGGCCTTCTGATTCCATTAAGGGAGAGATGAGGCCGGCCTGCGGTAATTACGCAGCCAGGCAGTAAAGGAATGTGCCAGAGCTCCCGAAATACCTGCCCAGTGAGGATCAGTCAGTGCCTTGGCTGCCACCCTGTGTCAATGAGCAATTCTGTTCCTGCCTACAAGGGCCCTCCTGCAGGGCAGAGTCAGCTGGTCAGGGGGACAATAATTGTCCTTCAAATGGCCCATGCTCAGCACTGAGAAAGCTTCACACAGAGACAGCAGCTGACCACGGGGGACAGAGGGGACAGGAGTGAAGTTTCCGAAAGCCACCGCCATTCCTTGGGTGGACAGAGGGAAGGGGTGAGAAAACTCTTCTAACTGAGGAGGGTCTGGGCTAGACTAAAATGAAGTGCTAACCATCCTGCCCCCATGGAAAGGATCAGGTGGCTCTCACTGCACCAACATGAACCAATTCCTAAAATCTACTGCTGACTTAAAAGGCAAGTTGCAAAACCATGCATATACTCTAATCTCATTTGTAGTTTATAAAGGAGCTCTGAATCTGGACCCACAGTCCTAGCCCCTTTCTTTCTCGCTGTGTGACCTCAGGCAAGTTACTTAAGCTCTCTGTGCCTCAGCTTCCTCCTGTAAAACAAAAACAATAAAAGTACTGATCTTGCAGAGTTGCAAAGATTTAAACAATTTTATACTTGCTAAGAGCTTACAACAGCGCCTGCCTAGGGTGGCATATCGTAAACACTACTACCATTGACAATGTTTATGTTCACATTGGCCTAAAATATCTCTAGAACTGGTACCGTGGCAGCCTCTTGGCAAGGGAATTGAATATATAGCACAGGAATAAGAGGGAGACTTAATATCCCAAACCTTGGAATAGGGTGTTTATCTATTGCCTTTTTAAAAAGAAATAATAGGGACATGCTTTCAAATGAAGCCTCAGAGCTTTACTAGAGAAACTCCCAAGGGAGGTGGAGGGTACTTTTCTAAATCTCTGAGCCAGGAGCAAAGGAGATCTGTGCTTAGAGCTCAGAACAGAGAAGTGAAGGAGACTTCGAAGTCCCATGTCACATGGTGGGTGAGAAGAGTGAGCCTGGACCCTGGAGGACTGAGGCATCAGTTTATGCAGAGTTGCAAACAACATCCCTGGGTTCCAGGTGTGCAAACGAGTCCCAGGCCAGGGGGGCAGAGGGACTGTTGGGCTCTGCTGATCTCCAGGGGTTGACAAGATGCAGGATGAAGGAGAAATTCTCCTGCCTGTGTGGCAGGGATACCTCTCCAGGCTGCCTCCAACTCCTCTCCAAAGGGAATTGACTTTATTTATTTCTGTCACTTTCTAAGAAGAGGATATAGTTTGGTTTATACGGATACATAAACAAAGATAACAAATTAATAGCAGATGAGATGTATACACTGCCTTGAAATAATACAATTTTGCCCATTTTAGGATGAGAAAATGGAAGCTCAGAGTGGTCCAATAATTTGCCCAAAGTCACAGAGCTTAGAAATGCCAGGGCCAGGTTTTCAGACCCCATTAGTAAACTCTTTCCTCATGGTTCCGAGCACAGTGCCTGGCAAACAGTGGGCACTTGAGAGCTAAGCAGGTAAGGAATGCTAAAAACTACCACCCATCAGAAGTCCAGTTAACATCAGCTAAGAAGTCACTGTGCCCTGCAAGATACCCCACCCCTCATGCCTTTCACAGTGAGATTTTACAGCAACTCCCATCAAGAGGTGGAGTTCAGCTCCCCACCTCTTAAGTCTGGGCTGACCTAGTGACCACTTTGACCAAAAGAGTGCAGCAGAAGTCACGTTCAGTTTCTTCAAATCAGCTTCTCCTTTCCCTTTGCCTGCATCCACCCCTGGGTACCAGATGTATCGGGGCCCTGGGAGTAGAAATCCAGGCCTCAGAGTGAGCAGAGAGCTCATGATGTGCAGCCCCCTCTGGCACCAAATGTAATCATTTAAAGATGATCCAACTCTGAGGGGCTGTGACCCTAGTAGAAGGAAGTCCCCAGGGTGCCCACAGGATACAACTTGGCCTGCTGGGCGTAAGCAGGTGGCTCTATCCCCAGCACCAAAGCAGTCCACCTCCTCTGTCAAGCATCGGAAGAGGATGTTAGTGGGCTGCGTGGAGCCCAGCAAAGCCTATTCAAGCCTCCTCTTCACACACAAAAGGAGATGGTGTTTCTATTTGAAAGAGAAACCACAATAGAGGTTGGGGCCAGAGCCATCTCTGTGGGAGCCAAGCGGGCCTCTCAGCTCCAGCCCCTGCCCTGCCTGGTCACCATCCCTTAGTCTGCTGCTGCCTCTGCGAAATCCAATTCCTGGGCACACCACTGCCTTCCTCTGTAATCCGAGGTGGCGTTGGGGAGACAGGAGCCACCAGAGCTTGGGAGGGACTTCAAACAGCATCCTTCCACAGACTTCTTTTTTTTTTTTTTTTGGTCTGTGGGAGATCATTAGGTCTATTTATTTATTTATTATTAGTTTTTTGTTTGTCTGTTTTTTAATGGAGGTATTGGAGATTGAACCCAGGACCTCGTCCATGCTAAGCATGCACTCTACCACTTGAGCTATACCCCCTTTTTTTCTTTCTTTTTTTTTTTCACAGACTTCTGATGGAAGGATATTATGATAAGTGTATTTCTGCACCTGAGGCACAAATACAGGGGCCCTAAACGCCTTTCTTTGGTGCTCGCTGCCGTGCTCCCTGGAGAGGGCCTACCTACTCATCCTGCCACATGTCAAATCCTCTCAAAGGGACCCTAAGCTAACACAGGTGGCCTGGAAAGGCTGCCCTGCCTGGGTGTACTGTTCTGAGAGACCGGACAAGCCCCTTCTTTCCCTGACCTTCCTTCTCCACCCATGAAATGAGATGGCAGAGACAGCTCTAATATTTTATGGGAGATTCATCCAACTGGTGGCCCGTGGGCTAAGTCTAACTCGCAAAATGTATTTTACTGGCCTCCAAATTATGCAAAAATTGATAAAATTCACATAAAAATCCATATTTCCAGCTTCAATTGCATAAAACAATCAGAACAGTCTTGTGGCATATCGGCAGAAGCCGAGCAGGGCAGGGACCAGTTGGCCACAGTCTCCACCACGCCCTCTTGTTATCTGCCCAATCTGAGTCACTCATCACTTCTATGCTAGTCTCTTAGGCATTTGCATTTATAACCCCTGAATGACAGTCTCAACCTTGGCTGTCAGCACTTTAGAATGTCTGATAGAGGTTTTAACAGATGCCTAGGCCCAGGCCTACACACCCACACACACATTCTGATTCAACTGGTCTTGGGGTAGAATCAAAGCAATGGTGTTTACAGAAAAGCTCCTCTGATGATTCTAACTGCAGCCAGGCTGAGAACTGCTCGTCCGAGGGCCCTGCTGGCTGGGAGGACCCGTCTCACCTGTGCAAAGAAACAGCCACCAGAGAAGGAAGGATGAGAAAAGTGAGCCTGGTCAAACTTACCCACAGGTGCCTCTGGGGAACCAAGTCTTGCCCTGGAATCCTCCCAGCCCCAGTCATAAGTACTTAAGCTTTTTAGGCACAAATGCAATGAGCTTTGCGAGCTTCAGTCAGAAATAACTACCCAGACGGATCCCTCCACCTTCCTTGTGTCTGCACCCAGTCCAGGTCCTGCCCGTTGCTCCCTCCTGAGCCACTGTGCAAGCTGCTTCCGGTCCCTGGACAGGGTGTGTCAATTCACGCTTCCCTCTCCCCTCTAGGCTCCGCCCGAGGCTCGCTCTTCCTCCAGGAAGCTGCGTGAGATGTGCGTGCTCAAGTCCCTCAGGTTCCATCAGCATTTTACATACTGGTTTCTCTAACCAGGCTCTTAGGCCTTTTTCATGCCCCTATCAGATAGAGAATCCCAGAAGGCAGGAATCGCCTCTCTTACACCTCCTGTGCCCTCCCCAGTTCTCCCACTCCACCATTTCACAAACACACACCAAGCGCCCAGGCTGCAGCTCCACCCCACTGGTCCCTGAGCGGCAGTGGGCTCTCTCAGGATGGAGAGACTCCTCTCTGGAGAGGGTGTGGGCACTGCAGGGGCCACTGCATCCTGCTCATCTACCCAGAGGAGCCATTTCAAATGAATCTACAGTGCCCACCTGCTGGCCTCCTGCCCACCTCCCTGCCAAGCACCCGAGTCCGCTTGCTCTGTGTGTGTGTGTGTGCCCAGCAAGGAAAAGAACATCTTGTCAGCTGTCACCCCTGAACTGAGAAGGCAACATGGAGAAAGCAATGGGAGAACAATGCTAGATTGAGGGCAGTCACAAGGGGGCTCACACAGGTCTACTGATAAATAACTACTCCTGAGATGCAGAACCCCAAATACCCCACTGGTCTGTTCAGAACAAGACAGTCACTCCAGGACCCACTCCCTTGACCATTAATCAATCTGAGTCACAGCCAGCCAGAGACAGGAATGACACTTAGAGATTCCCAGGCTGCAGGGAAGACACAGGTCTTAAGGACAGACCTTAAAAGCTTCCCCTGGGAATGAGTTCCTGAGTCTAGCTGACTGGCAACCAGCCCTGGTGACACTCCCCAGGCAGGGCCGGAGCCTGAAGCACGAGGGCCAGCAGCAGGCCCTTCTGGCCTGAGCTGACCAGGGCTCACCTCTGAGCTGGCAGAACGTGGTCATGAACTTGCTGGTGAGGGATTTGAGCTCGTTGTTGGCCAGCGTGATGAGGTGGATCTGGTCAGTGACATTCCGCAGGACCTTATAGATGCCGATGGGGAAGGAAACCAGCTTGCACTCGGCCAGATCTGTAGCCAAAGGACAAAGGCCAGAGTCAGCAGCCACAGGTGCTCATGGACTTACCCCAAACCCATGTACCCCGACAGCCCGTCTCTCCTCCCAGCCTCCCTCCTCTCCTACCTGTCTTCCCTGTACCAGGCTCGAGACCCGGCCCTCCCTCCTCCAAGAGCCTTCATCACCATTAATCACACTTGTCCCAGCCTCACACCTTGAACCTTAGGGCTTATTCTAGCACTTTCTCTAATAGTACAGCTGCTAGCCAGAATGCAGAAGGAAGAGATCTGCCGGGACAGTGGTGACCAGCACTTGTAGCCATGTGCCTGAGGCCCCACAGGGTCCGTAAGTCTCTCCAGGATCATCAGACCCAACTGTGAAGCTGCAGCCTTAAGGGTACTTTGTAGGAGTCTACTTCTTTCAAAACAGGCAATTGTGCTCTGATCTGCCTCCCCATCCTGTCATTCTGAAGACAAGCAGGGCAGCCTCTGTGGAGAACAGTCTGGCAGTTCCTCAAATGGTCAAACCTAGAGTTACCATATGACCCAGCAATTCCACTTCCAGGAATACTCCCGAGAAAAATGAAACCAGTTTTCTCCTCACAAAACACAGTACACGTGAATGTTCAACAGCAGTGTTAGTCATAATGGCCAAAAAATGGATGAACAACCCATGTGTCCATCAACAAATGAATGGATAAGCAAAATGTGGTATCTCCATAAAAGTAAATAAAAGGAAATGAAGTACCAATATATGCTACAACATAGACAGGCCTTGAAAACATGATGGTAAGTGAAAGAAGCCAATCTCAAAGGACAATACTTTGTATGAGGCCATTTATATGAAACATCCAGAATAGGCAAATGTAGAGACAGAAAGGAGATTAGGGGTGACCTAGGGGTAGGGGTATGAAAGGTGGCAACTAAGGGGTGAGGGGGTTCTTTGCAGGGGTAATGCAAATGTTCTAAAATTGCATCTGGTGATAATTACACAACTCTGAATACACTCAAACCACCGAACTGTACACCTTAAGTGGATGGATTGTACATATATGAATTATATCTCAGTAAAGGAATTTCATATATATGGCAGCAGAGAGACACTGAAAGCATGGAGGCTCAGAAATAAGGCTGTCCAGCTCATCTAAGTCACTTAACTTTCCTGAGCCTCTATTTCCTCATCTGTAAAATGGGGGTATCATCATCTACCTAGCAAGGCTGTAAGGAAAAGTGAATAGAAAAAAAGTATTCAGTGTACTAACCAAGTGCCTGTCATGCACAAGGTCCTAGCTTCAATCCCCAGTACCTCTATTAAAAAAAAAAAAAAGAATCCCCTGTACCTCCATTAAAAAAAAAAAGACTCTCTAAAAGTGAAGGTGAGGTGATAACCAATTTTATAAGGCTGCAATAATTAAGACAGAGGATAACAGGAAAATAGATCATAGAAAGAAAAAATGTAGTCCAGAAAATATAGCCCATGAATGTCATAATTTAATAAATGCTAAAGGAATCCTCACAAATAAATTGGGAAAGGGAAGGATTAATAACTGATGTCAGAATAACCAATTGACAATTTTGGGAAAACAAGAGTGACTCTCAATTAACCTAAGAATCAAAATAAACTCCAGACAGAATTACATTTTAAATATTTTTTTGGAATCAAACCAAAAAAATCAGAAGTAAACACAATTTAACTTTTGTACAACCTCTCAGGTGAGGATAACTTTCTAAACCTAGGAGCCATAAAAGGATCACAAAGGGACAGATCAACAAACCTAGCTATAAAAAACATAAAACACCAGGATGCTTAAAAAAAAAAAAGCAAGAAACAGGTTGTGAAAAAGGATCTATCAATAGGATGCATAAAGAGTTATCCTATTATTTAAAATGCTCAATATAATTCAATTTACAAAATTAAGACCACCAGATAATAGATCTTCACTAGGGAGAAAATAAAATTAGAAACAAATATATGGCCCCAATATGTGCTACCAAACTGCTTTCCAGACTGTGTATACCAATTTACAGACATCCTGGCCAACAAGTAAGAGGATCATTAAAAAAAACAAAAAACAGCTTTGCTAATGTGATCAGAGGAAATGGTATCCCTTGCTCTACTTTGTAATTCTTTCATAATAAGACTGATTATCTTTTATTGTTAATTAACCATTTTTATTTCCCCTGTGGAATCCTGTTCGGGTCTCTTGCTTTTTTTCTGTTTGGAATTCTCACCTTCCACTTATTATTTCACATGTGCCAGGTTGTCAGAGCTGTCCTCGCTGTACGCAGGAAACTGCAAGTGAGTGCCTTGCCCAGGGTCATTCAGCTAAAATAGGGAAGTAAGAGTTGGACGCAGGGTCCTAACCATTGTACAATCCTGCACTCTTGAGTCAATAACATACCCAGGTGCCTGCCTCTAGGCCAGAGAAGGGGAGTTCATGCTGAGCACCTCAGTGGGAAGCCAGAGCCATGGCTCAAACTCCTGGAGGCCTTTCCAGGTGGGCACCTGTGATCTGGAGACAGGCTCTGGAGCCTTCTTCACAAGCCAGTCAGCTTTCACCCTCAGGAAATTCTCCAGGTCTAATCCAGAGCATGGGTACCTTCTCTACTGGCTATAACTGTTTACAGTAGAGAAAAGCCCCCTGGCTTGAGCCAAGTTCAATGCTGGGGCTTACAGGGGGAGACAGCACTACTTCCAGAGGACACAGCCAGGATGTGGCTGGGGGCCAGGTCCCACTAAGGGAGGGGGACCCTACCCAGGGAAGAGAAGACCCAATCTGGAGACAGATGAGTTGTCCTCCAGGAGCCATGGGATGTCACCAAGAGAAGAATCCCATTCTCTATGGGTCCTCAGAGCTGATGGGACAGGGCAGAGTTCATCAGTCACAAAGAAAAGGTTCCCTGTGGGACGTGGGTGCCCCATCATGGGGTGTGATCAGGAAGGGTCACCACAGAGAAGATTCCTGAACCAGATGGAGGCCGGGTGATCTCCAAGCTCTCACTCAACTCAATAAAACAAACATAGCTAACATCATGAATATGGACCATGTGCCAGGCACTGTAGTAGGCACTTCTTAATGTATTAACTCACTAAATTCCTATAACAATGATGAGTTACCTTCATAGGAGGAAAGTGAGGCCCATGTTGATAGGTATATTGTCCAAGGTCATTTTCATAAGATGATGGAGTGCAAAGAATTGGAATGCAAAGATTCCGGTCATTGGTAGGGTGATCAACTTGTCCTGGTTCACCCAATTTTAGCCTGGTTCCAATTTTAGCACCAAAGGTTCTGCACCCTGAGGGACCTCTCCTTAGTCCCAGACAACTCAGGACAGTTGGTTGCCCTAGATTTGGGCTGCATGCTGATGGATGAGACAACACTAGAGTCAGAGAGGAGAGAGGGAAGGCAACCCAGGCATGGGCCATGGCAGGAGCAAAGGCCCTCTGGGGCTCCACCTTTAAGCCCTGCCTCCTCCTGCAGTTTCTGGGAGCCTCACCAGAGAGGAAGGCTCTAGCTCTGAATCATTTCATGCTACTTGGTGTTGCATGCATGCCCACAGACCCCAACAGGGGCTCAGGGGTAACAACGACAGGGGGCAACATCAGCCTCCTCCATCAACATCTGGACAGCAGAAGGATTCAACCGTGCCTTTCCCCAGGGCACCCCCCCAATCACCCACACTTAAGCTACAGTGAAGACCAGAGACCCTGTGGGGAAGGCCCTCTAATAAACAAAGGTATAATTATCCTTATAATTATAATTATTATTGCAAGAAGGCCAAACTGCATGTCCCCCAACCTCTAATTAGGGCAGTACTTTGTGTTAATAAAAAAGCTTTTTAATTCAAGATACACGAGTCCTTCATTAAAGGTTATCTTGTTAATTCTAATGAATGCCCGATGAAAAGTAACTGGTGGGCAGAACGGGGGCAAAACAAGCAAAATCCAAGCAGTAAGCAGAACGTTCTGCGGGAAGTCAGGAGGGCTGAGTCAAGCTTGTGTTGTTCTCTAGAAACACAGAACTCTGACCCCTGCTCAGTCCCTGCTGAGAGGTGGGCCTGGACACAGGGCCCCGCAGCGGGAAGATGAGAGGGTAATGAGCCCCTACAGCCAAGTCAAGGGGCCCAAGGGAAAAGGTCGGGGACTCAGGATGGCAGGCCCATGGGCCTCGTGGTCTGACCAAGAAGCAAGGAAATCTGCCTCCAGTGTGACCCAGTCCCACCCAGAATATCTTTTTTTTTTTTTCACAAAATGTCTATTTTCACAAATGTCTTTTTTCATGGACTCTCAGGATTAGGAGACTGGATGTTACTTAGCCCATGTTTTCCAAACTTCCCAGGAAGAATCATCTGGAGAGGTGGGTCCTAGGCCTCTATCCCTGAGATTCTGCCTCAGTGGGTCAGGAATGGTGCCAAGGCATTTGTGTTTCTAACAGGTATTACCAAGTGACTCTTACCAATAAGCAAACTGAGTAACAACGCCTCCAATTAAGACCCAAAATTCTCTTAATGCCTCCACTGGAGGGCTCAGAGTTCTTGAATACTTTTGGTGATGGGGAGCTCACCTCCCTTCCACAGAATGTTTTTAACTGTTAGAGAGTTCTTTCATGAACCATATGATAACTGCTACCCTGCCACTACCTGGTGATCCTTCTGCCCTCTTGGATCATACATAGATATCTGCCCCTACGTGACAATCCTCTTCATTAGACAAGGATGAAGTTGATTAAAGCTTTTCAGGCAAGAACATCCCAGAAACTTCAATCTCCATGGTTTTAGAAGCTCCCTTCAGAGAGCTGGGACTGGACCAACTCAGACTGAGCCCCAACCAGAACTTGCTCCTGTGCAGGTTTTCAGTCTTTGACATATGACTGCAGCCACCTTTCACTGACACCAGCTGCGTGCCCAAAACTGCCCAGGGCCTCAGACCTACCATCTCATTTACTCCTCAAAACTACCCCATAAAGTCAGGTATATACTTACCTCCATTTAACAGAGGAGAAAACTGACCCTCA